GTCAGCTGTTGCCTCTGACAGAGACGTTCGCTAAAGCTGATGATTCTATTCTCATATGGCATCAAGTACTCTTCTGCAAAAACTGCAAGGCGTCTTAATGGTCGTGGCAAGATCTGAGATAATGAAAGTGCTAAATTGGCGCACTGCACACTATCACATCCATATACAAGAATTTGGATTCCGCTTAAAAGTGCACTCAAAAGCATTTCTGTCTCCTGCAATCCACCAATGTGTTTCTGCATAAATTCCAAAAGCCAAACAGCAAGAGGTTTTACTACAAATTTCTCACCTACGGCCAGTATTCTTCCATTACCCACAGCAATACAGCCTTTTTCCCCAGGGGGAGAGTCCAAATCAATTCCAACGATATTTACTAGAGGAAGTTCGACTTCAAGGCGTTGTTTTATATCATTTACAGACGTTGGCTCCAATACCGAATCAGTGACCCTTAATGGCTCAACGCCAAACAAAGCAGGGAAAAAACGCTCAAAAAAACTATGAACACGTTTAAAAGCTTCTTCTTCAGATTCCGTGTTTTGAGATATCAAGCACATCAATGAACGCATTGAGCGTTTACGCGCCTCTTCACGACACCTTTCTAAATCTGGAAAGATGGAATACTCTAATGCTAGGCGCTTTTTTGTTGCAGTAGACCATTCTTCCAATAGAATATTTAGAAATAAAGAGACCAGTGGCCACTGACGCACAAGTTCAGCACTTTGAGGATGTGTCAGTATAATACAGAAGCGACGCTTTTCACCGCGGGCTAAAATATCTTCCAAACAAAAAGACATACCGGCAATTCCTCCGGCCAGTGGATCCAGCATTAGCACGGATTCTTCATTAGATTCATTTGAAGCAAGAACACGTGCGACAACGGCCTTCATCCGCTCCTTATATTCTGGACACAAGGGTCCACTAATCACTCGAGCACTAAGAAAAGTCTTTCCACAGACAGCAGAAAGGCGTAACAAGTGAGGTCCAAAAATATCCACTTCCTGATATGCATAATACTCTGATACACAGGTTGCCTTAGCCCCCTCGAGGGCGTCAAATTCCCCCAAAGTTACCATGGGAACACTCCAAAATGCTCGCGGCATTGGCTCTATATAAATGTTGGTGAATAATAATAATAATAATAATAATTAAAAAATAAATAAATAAAAAAGTAGTATGGGAAAGAGCAAAATAAAAGCCATTTTTTTTAAAAAAAGAAAATGTATATGCTTATTTATTAGTCATCAAAATATTAAACAAAATATTTAATTCTTCTCTCTGATTTACTCGCATATTTGCGTTACCAAAATAATAAATAAATAAGTAAATATTATACATATAAAAAATAAATTCCAAAAGGGTTTCTCTCTTTTTTTTTTGTTTTATTTTTTTTCATCCTTCTCGTTTACAATGAAAAGGCTGAAGACCACGTTAATCCAAATTTGACGTGTTCAAACAGATTTTTATTGCCATTTCTCCAGGTAACATTTCCGCTCCTATCAATACCTACAGGAATTGAGAAATTCAATTCAAAGCGTCCGCTAGGGGCAACACCAAACAATGGAATTCTGGTTACCACCACACCGAACCCTACTGAGGCAGCAGAAGAGCGAAGCCACTGGTAAATGTCCAAAAACTCTGATTGATATCGTATCATTTTTAAATTACCCAAATTCGCAAAAAGATGCATAGCCGCTAATCCATTATGAGGAAAGAAGATAAATGGAAAGTTTACACTAATTGATGTCGCCCAAAGTGCATTACCGCCTGTTGCGGCAAATCGACCCCCTTCTTTTTGAATAATATCAAGAGTTGAAGGCCCCACACTTTTAAACCCACGAACATGGCAGTTTGAAAGAAAAAGCCGGTCGTTTAACGGTATTCTAGCCTGTCGATAAGACCATATACCCGCTAATTTAGTATTCCATTGAAAACTACAAAAAGGTCCAAGCGGCCAATATTTTGCTGCCTGTATTTCTGTTTTCAAAAACGTAAATTGACCTCCAAAGGGACCTCCAGCGAGCTCATTTTTTATACTTATTTGGTTTCCTTGTATTGGTAAAGGATACATGTTAGATAAAAAAGGATCCGCATGATATCCTGTATTCGATAAAGCCAATTCATGTCTCATATATCCTTTAAACGTAGTAGAAAAGTCATTTAAAAGATCTGAATTTAAATGTTCTTTTCCCTTTGCAACCAAAAGTCTTCGCTGAAAGCCAACTGAAAACTCTGAAAAAAATCCCCGTTTTTCATTCTTTGCAGTAGCTCGAATTTCTTCAATTCTTTCACTACTAGCGGGGTGATATATCTTATTTTCAGTCCGTTTTCCAACGTAATACTCTCCCACTTGTCCCAAAAATGGAACATTGGAAAGAATCGAAAAGGATGCGGCATGAGTTCGTGATGTTGGAGGGATATAGTTCCCAGACAATGTGTACCTACCTCCAAGAATATTTTCTAAAGAAATAGTCAACTCCGGAACTACAGTTTCAGTTGTAAAGATGCCAAATGATTTTTTAGGTTTGGACTCTTCAACATCTATGTGGACACAAACATCATTGGCTTCGCCATCGTAGGTGGGCTCTAAATTAAAGTTTACTGAGTTAAAAACACCCATTTGTACCCATCTACTCTTTGCTTCACTCATGTTGTTCGTGATTTCAGTTATTGTCCTTGAGCGTTTAATAGCCTCAACATCACGACTTATTACGCGAGGATGAATTCTTTGAATTCCTCGGATACGCACATGGGTACGTATCGGCAAATCCATGACTTTCTCAATATCTTTTTCCGTTATGTTTACTTCCTGCGAAAATACGGATGCATTCTCCTGATTATTCATTTTTTTCTTATTATCTGCCCTCACTCCTTTGAAAAATTTTTCTGGGGTAAAGAATATGAATATCAGACTAAAAAGAGAGAAGAAACAGAAAGAAAAACCTTGGCACATTATAATTCAATTACTATTTTTTTACCGAGCAATTAATAATAATAAAAAGCGTTGGCAAAAAAATATTCAATTAAATTCCATACATATATAATGGCGAAAAACAATACATGGCAAAAGATAAACCTAACAAAAAAAAAAAAACAAAAAAAAAAAACAACCAATTAAATAATTAAAAAAAAAAATAATAATAATAATTTATATTCTATTTTCCTTGTGCCAACAGAAACCGTAATTCAGATAACATTCTTTTTCCAAAATTTTTTTCTTCACTCTTTTAAAGCCATCTTTGTATAACTACAAAGAATATACACATATATCTATATATATCCAAATTCGTCCTATATTCTATCTCCTTGATATGCTCTACCACGATCAAAATTTGGAGGAGACCACTCTTGAAGAACGAGTTGTGGAAAAACATTTGGTTTTAACAAAGAAGTTCCAAGAAGCATATTTACGCATTCTTGAAATCCTTGAGTAACAGTTGGATAAGCAGTGCGAAGCTCGCTCAAATTGTAAAGTGTTTCTTTATTATGAATTGCCAATGAGGCCAATTCTATAACACTACTTGCATGAGGTCCTATGGCTCGCACACCAAGAACTTGCATCTCGCGATCATTTGTAACAATTAATTTAACAAATCCCCTGGTATTTCCCATAGCCACAGCTCGGGCCACAAATTCATATCCATAACGAGCCATTTTGTATGCTATATTTTGTTTCCGGCATTGCTGCTCATTCAATCCAACTGCAGCAACTTCTTGATCCAAAAACATAATTGTAGACAAATTATCTAATCGTTGAACAAATTCACCCTCAGGATGAGGATGATAAATGTGGTCAATACAAGAGCGTCCTTCCAATTCTCCAACGTTTACAAGAGCAAATTTGGTAGCCACATCCCCACATGCATAAATGTGCTTGTGGGGTTTTACACGATTAAACTGATCTCTTTCAAGTTTCCCTCGTTGAATCCCTACTCCGATATTTTCCAACCCCAGACCACTTAAATTGGGTTCTCTTCCAATGGAAACTAAAGCATTGTCCACAATATGCGTCGTCAATTTGTTGTCTATTAAATTCCTTAATGTGTAATGAAATTGTCCATTTTTGACTTTATTACTTTCCAGGGCTGAATGATGATGAAAAGTAACCCCTTTATTTTCAAGTAGTTTTTGGACAAACTCTGCCACATCATCATCTTCCATGGGTAAAATACGATTGCTCTTTTCGATGACGTTAACTTTTGTCATACCAAAGTTTGCAAATATAGATGCGAATTCACAACCAATCACACCCGCACCAATTATAACAATACTCTTCGGAAAAGCCCTATTCATGATGTCATCTGAGGTAAAGACCACTTTACCGTCCCAAGTCACAGAAACATGTTTCCGTGGTTGAGCTCCACAGGCAATAACAAAATAATCCGCCTCCACCCTCTCGGTGCCCCCAGAGGCAAGTTGAACATCTACAGATTGAGGTGACATGAATGACCCATATCCCTCAATAACATCAATATCAACAATTTTCAGTTGATGAACTATTTGAGCATATCGAAGCTCAGAAGCATTTTTAATGGCCTTTTGTGCATTTGAAGAGTCGATTGGGGGAAGAGGCATAAGGGGTTTCATAAACCGGCTTGCCGTTTGACCAGTCATTAATCGGACAAATTTAGACATTTCCCACAAAGTTTTGGACTGCAATGCGCCATTCCAAAGGTCCGCTCCTCCAATTCGATTCGCTTCAACAATGCATGCCTTTTTTTTATAGTCAACCGCACGTAAAGCCGTGGCAATACCTGCGGGACCGCCTCCAATCACACAAACATCGACTTTTTTTAGTCCCCAAAAGTGGCTACGATGTAACATTATCTCTGATTATGAACTGAAAAATAAATAAATAAATAAAATAAAAAACACGAATGAATGCCAAAAAAATTAAAAATAGAATTGCAAGAATAATCAATTCCGCAAAAAATAAAATCAGACACCGGCCCTTTTCTCCTTTCCGCCGCCACAACCCTAAGAACAACACGCGCTCCTGATTCCGGCCGCCTTCGCCCTGCTCTTCCGTTCAGCCCCCGCGAGCTCCACAACAATTCGGAATTCGCACTTCCAATAAGAAAAGGCCTTTTTTTTATTATCGCGCGCGGCGGGCATCCCAGTAAACATCCCGATCCCACGGCGCCACAGAACAACACAACAAAACAAAATGCGACGCAAATTCTCACAAAAAAGAACTTGACGAAACTTCCGCGGTCTTCTTTTTTTAACATCACACTTAGCCGCAAGCGTCGGAGTCACCATACCCAAGTGGTTACGGGGACTGACTAGAAATCAGTTGCGATCTCGCGCGCAGGTTCGAATCCTGCTGGTGACGATTTTTTCCCTTCCAGCCATTGAGCCTTTATCAGAAGCTTGTGAAGAGAATGATCGCGGGAGAGCTGGCTAAGTTAATTAATGTATGTACATCGTGATAAATGGATGCATTCTTTATGATACTTTCTACCGTGTGAATCCTTTGGGAAGAACGCGACTTTGTAGGTGCGGGGAACCGATAGAGGCCGGATAAATTTTTAATTTTATTTTGTCATCCCACCCACCCCCTTTTGATTCCCACCACGCGGCGGGGTCTTGTGGTTGGAGGAGCCCAAAGTCTGCCACTTCGTAAGTAATAATATGTTAATCGCAACTGAGGACAAAGGACCATGCTGGTGGTCCACAGAATTCTATATATTGAATGAAAAGAAAACATTGAAGCAATTAACTAACGAACCTTTTTTCCTAACTTGTTTGGTTTTTATAAACAATTTCAGGATCCGGCCAGCTGCCCGGAAGATTATTCTTTTATTTTTACCATTCCACACTTAATTCCCACCACGCTGCTCCGTCTTTCGGCTGGAGGGGCCCAAAGTCTTCCACTTTGTAGGTTGTGAATACATACATACACACACACTTATATATGTATATGTACATGCACGCCCAATCCGAATGGAGCGATCAAGTTACGACAGTAGCCAACACAATGTGCATATATAAATATGCGCTCACTTGGTGTAAATACTCATTGGGGATTTGGCGAACCCCCATCCCCATTCACCCCTTCTCATTCCCGTCCTGTGTGAATCCTATTGACAGCCGCAGGATCCGTTCGGCGGCCCAAGTGAATATTCTAGGAGCTCTTTTTGTGTGTGTGTGTGTTTTTTGCTTTTGTCGTC